TGATGGGAGATATTTCTTTTCTGGTCTAGTCTATTTGGTGTTCTGTAGGCTTCTTTTATGTTTATGGGCATCTTGTTCTTTAGGTTAGGGAAGTTTTCCTCAATAATTTTGTTGAAGATATTTACTGGCCCTTTAAGTTGGGAATCTGCATTCTCATCTATACCTATGATCCTTAGGTTTGGTCTTCTCATTGTGTCCTGGATTTCCTGGATGTTTTGAGTTAGGAGTTTTTTGCATTTTGCATTTTCTTTGACAACTGTGTCAATATTTTCCATCGTATCTTCTGCATTTGAGATTCTCTCTTCTATCTCTTGTATTCGGTTGGTGATGCTTGCGTCTATGACTCCTGATCTCTTTCTTTGGTTTTCTATCTCCATGGTTGTCTCCCTTTGAGCTTTCTTTATTGTTTCTATTTCCAGTTTCAGATCCTGAATGTTTTTGTTTAATTCCTTCTTTGTGTTTTCTTGCATTTCTTTAAGGGATTTCTGTGATTCCTCTTTAAGGGCTTCTACCTGTTTACTTGTATTCTCCTGTATTACTTTAAGGGAGTTACTTATGTCCTTCTTATAATCCTCTATCATCATCATGAGAAATGATTTTAATTCTGAATCCTGCTTTTCCGATGTGATGGGGTGTTTAGGGCTTGCTATATTGAGAGAACTGGTTACTGATGATGCCAAGAACCTTTGGTTTCTATTGCTTATGTTCTTGCACTTGGCTTTCGCCATCTGGTTAACTCTAGTGTTACCTGTCCTCACTGTGTAAGACTGGAGTCTGTATTTCCAGTTAACTTGCTTGTTGCAGAGCTCCTCAGAGTCCAGATGTCTCTGTGGTCTTATGATCCTAATCTCCTGGGTGGAAGAACTCCTGGGACTCAGGCCACCTCTTGGATCTGGAAATCCTTCTGCTCTGGGTGCAGTGGTTCCTCTAGGATGGCTCAGGATATGATCTCACAAGTGCAAACCACCTTGGTGTCTGCTGCTCTGAGTGCAGTGGCTCCTCAGCTGTTTTGAGTGCAGTGGTTCCTCTAGGATGGCTCAGGATTCAGTATTTCCACAGGAGCAGACCAACTCTGTGTTGGGTGCTCTGAGTGCAGTGGCTCCTCTAGGATGGCTCAGGATTCAGTATCTCCACAGGACAGGAGCAGATCAACTCTGTGTCTGCCCCAGCCCAAAGGACCAGGCAGGGGCTGAAGGGAAGTGGAATTCTGGAGGGGCGGGGTTTGGGTAGCTGGTGTGTCCTGAATGTCCCTGGCTCCCAGATGTATCTCTGGGGCTTAGGGAGTGAGATGGAGTTCTTACCAGCTGCTCTGAGTGCAGTGGCTCCTCTAGGATTACTCAGGATTCAGTATCTCCACAGGAGCAGACCAATTCTGTGTCTGCCCCAGCCCAAAGAGCTGCTTTCTCTAGTAAAAAATGACTTACTTTGGATTCCAATAGGTTTTGTGTGCTGGTTATAAAGTGGTCTTGCTACTGTTGTTTGAGGTTTATTTCTCTGCCACTTAAAGAATTAAAAGGCAGGAAAAATCTAGAGCACAGTAGGCAAAATCAGCCAGTGAAGGACTTTTATTAGAGGTGCGGAAACACACACACACACACACACACACACACACACACACACACACACACA